ATATATATATATATATATATTGAAATTAATAACTTTTTAAATTCATTTCACAACCTAAAGATCATGCTAAGACCGTTTTAATAATAGTCATGCATAAAACTCATAAAATTCACAATTTATCATTTAGTATTCACTTCTACATAGTTATAATAGTTAATAAATGCAATAAACTATATAGTTACCTCAATCCTTCTGTTTGATAGAAAGGGTTACCCATTTTCCAACAACCTTATTCAAGCTCCTTTCTCTTATTTCATGTGTCACACGCTAAAATTTACATAAAATTGGCAACCCAAAGTCAATTTCTCTGTTGACAAAAAGTGCCAAATGTCATATTTAAATACTTAATCGCTATCAACTTCACATTTCACTCTCAATTATATGCATTACCACTAATTACCCCTCATTTCAAGCTTTAATATTTCTAGCCAATTTCTCTTACTACTTTCTTTCTAGATTAGAGCAATTCTTGCCTATAGCTTCAAAGCTTTATTGTTTCGACTCCAACCAGTCACAAAGTACTAGTTTAGTTTCGAAGGACCTTTCTATTACTATAGGGTAAGAAATTAACTCCTTAAAACTCCAAAATTCAATTTCTTACTAGTTAAAATTAAGAGAAAATAAGGTAGAATTGGATGTTAAGACAGTACGTGGCTTGCCCGATAACTAACAAGCCAAAGACACCATCCTCATTCCTGTTTTAGCTTACCTTAGCAGATCCCTTGCTCTTCTCCACGTCTGAGCTCTCCTCCCACATTTCTCCCTTCTATTTCATGAGTTGGACACGTCCCTATTAATCTAAATTCTGCTCTATGTGCCGCGGTGCATATATCTCCACCGCAACACGTGGCATAGTGAGGGAAATCCTCACTATGCTCACACGCTCTGCTTCAAGACTCTACTCTTCTACTCATATCTATTCATATAACATCTCAATGAGTTAATATAACACTTCACCACTTAGAACCCTAATCCCAAATTAAATCATTAATTCATTTTTAATCAATCATTAACACAAGATTAGAAATTAAATCACTAATTCATCCCAAATTGCAAGTGGCATTTTAAATTTGTGACACGTAACATCCTAAAATAATAACAAATGGCACTGTCATATGTTTGTTATTTTTATCCTTAAATTCGATTGCAATTGATGTTATTCAGTTTAACATAAATTTGAACTTAGTCATAATTTAATTTAATACATTTAATTAATATCAATAAAGGATATAAAATTCATAAAAATTGGGTGCTCTTCAATATTTAATATGTTCATATATTTGTAAAATAGCATTTGTTAAATGTAATTATTTTAATCCAAATATTGAGACAACTATAGATGAGATTTTCATATTGTAACACCATAGATTTTTGAAAGTGAAAATTAAAAATTTTAAACCTTTTACATTAAAAATATTTGTGAAAAATGAAGTGATTTGAACAGTTTACATTGTATTTTAAGCCCAAAAAAAATAACAAATAAGCTTACAAGAAATTTTTTTTTTTTTTGGGTAAAAAAGGAAGGCAGTGCCCAATATATTAGTTAACAAAGCAAAAAATTGGGGGATTGAATCCCATATAATCATTAAGCGTTGAATCCCTCAAGAAAGGCGGAGCACAATCTAAACAGGAAGAAGCCTACAAGAATTGTTAAAAGGATATAACAATTTAGAATTAAAAATAAGGATCGGGTTTGACTGACTGCCTGTTTAAACTTATTTTTATAAAAATTTAAATTAAAAAAAATGACATTTTAGAAAGACTTAGGACTTTGAAGCCCAAACTTAATGGGCCCTGAAAAATGGGTTCGATCAGCCCTTTTAAGCTATTTTTGTTTTATCCTTAAAAATATAAAATATTTTAATTTTTAAATTAAATTTAAATTTTAAAATATATGTTTATGCTCTAAAATTAAAATTTTTATTATTTATTTTAAATTTTTAAGCACTAAAATTTATATTTAAAAAATAAAATTTTAATTTTAAAAATATTAATCACTCTAAATAAGAGATTGGCTTTAGAAAATGAATCATTTTTAGAGTAACCAAGTTTATGACTTGAATTCACGAACTACCCATTTCCCGACTCAGGGGACATAACGTAATGGGAACACTGAAATCATATTTGAATAGATTCGAAGTTGCTTGCGCCTCCAAGAAATGACAAAAAAGGTGTTAATTTTAGGCCCAATAAAGCAAGACAATTCCTAAAACCCTCATGGTCAAGCTCAACGCTTATCAAGAGCCAGGACATAATAATATAATTTGAATACATCAGCCCAGTATGAAAAGATATCAGTTCATGCTTAAATACACCTGGACTAAAGAAATTAAGAGAGAATTACATACAAGTGGAAATTAATAAAATTAATTACTCATTAGTCCTAACAACTTGTAAATAAGAATGAAAAAATAATTAATTTTTAATTAGAGCTATTTATAATTCTCCCAAAAAAAAAAGAGACATTCATGACATAGATTCTCATATTTTAATTCCAAAAATATTCATACCCTAACAACCAAATCAAGTCACGCTACAAAACTGTTTGAACTAAATATGAAACGTCACCCAAATAGGTCACAAGGCTAGTTGGGTTCAGTAATTAAAGCATTAGGGCCAATGAAGAGGGCCAGCCCCAAGGCTCAATAAGGCCATAATAAATAAACATGCCAAAATATCATCAGCTGCAAATATTATATCGTTGGCACAAAGACACAATCTTAAGTAATGTCGAAGTCTACACCTAAGTATTTTGATGAAACAGGCTAGTTATCAAAATGAAGAGACTGTGCCATAAATTTCACAAGAATTCCTGATTCTTCGGTAGAACGTGCTAAGTTTTAAAGGAAAGGCTTCCGCTATTCCAACACTATAAATATAAAGAGAAAATACAGAAGAAACTAGCCAACACTCAATCAAAGACTCACAACTTCAACATTCGTTAGCCCTTTTTAGTTTTCAATTTTTAATCTGTAGCTATTTCATATTTCAATAACAATCAAACACTTGTTACCAAAGCCTTACATTTTTTTACATTTGAGTGAATTGTGGTAAAAGAGCTTAAGACCCTTTTCGTTATCTATTGAGACCTAGTTTCTTTGGCATGCCTGGTATTTATTGTTTAGCCATGAACAATTTTTGGCACGCCCAGTGGGACCTGTGTAACAAAGATGGTAAGGACACGAAAAGACAAAAAGACTAATGAAACAAGTGCTGGTTCTCACAAACCAAAAGGGATCTCTTCGCACACAGGGTCAAAACACTTATCATCTGATGTTGAAGCAGCTGAACATCGTGAGCACGTAGTGCCAGTGACAACAAGTAGCAGCAACACGAGCCCTGGCTCAAAGTCAGGAAGTGAACAACCCAACCCACTAATCATATCTAACGGACTTGTGGTATAAGTGTTGCAGGGAATTCAAGACCAGATAAATAAGCAGCTGGATGAGAAATAAAGGTTCTTTACATTATCCCTGGAAATATCAGAACATAGGGAGAAAGAACGATAGAAGATCATGAAGCAAGCTCTACATGATAACATGAAAAACATAGCCACATCATTGCCTCAACTTTCTTAAGTTGGTAAAGGTTGGAGATTCGAGTTTAGGAAGGTTTCAAAAGATCTTTTTGGTGGAGTAAGAAATAACCCAAATAGCACCTTAAGAAAAACTAACTTCCATTGCCGTGAGGTAGGTTGGCCTAATCTAAAAAACTCCTGGTGGGGTGAGATGAGAACTGTTACAAGGACTGTCTCATATTTCTAAATATCCATCTATAATTGACTTTTCATAAATTTATAAGTAATTTTTCAAAAATTCACAAGTAGCGATGTATATATTCATGAAACCATTTATTCAATTGTAATTGACTTTTTATAAATTCACAAAGTGAACTTCCCTAAATTCACAATCAACTTTTCTTAAATCATGAGTGATGTTCTATTTATTATTTCAATAATTAAAAATATTTTAATTGCAAATAAAGATCATAATTTTTTCTAGCATCTCAATATTTCAAAATCTTCAATTATCATTAATGCCTTTACAATGTCTCTAATTATTATTTTCCCTTATCATAAATGTTTTGCCACACTACCTAGTCTAATTTATGAGCTTGTTCCTGGCCTATATTGTAGGTTTTCATTCTACCGTGTATCCAATTATAATTTTCGGGATTATAATTATAAACCCCAAGTCAAAAAAACAAAAGATTATAAATATCAACATTTTATTATGCACCGGAAGGGTTGCTAGAATCGAATTGCACTGTTCGGATTGACCGGGAACGAATCTACAGTCCAATCCAGTCAACTTTCACAACTGAGAAAAATAACATAAAATCATCTTATTTTCTGTGTTTTACTCTCATGATGATTCGTTTTTATTTAATATTTTGCATGCACACGTGCACACATATCTTGGTTGGTGATTTTGGTTGTTAATTTTTTTTTTAAGGAAATGTGATTTTAGTTAATAATAAAAACCTGTATTGATTTGGTTAGAAAATTAATGAAGTATATTTGATTATTTGTAATGAATAATAAATAACTTCACTAAATGATAAAAAAATATAAAAAAATATTTCCAAAAGTATTTTTATTTTCATGCATATTTTTAAATTTTATTATTCCAATCAAGAATAGTTAAACCATGATGTAACTGCAATTATATAAATCAGTACCTTGATTAGTTCAACATTCAATCAGGTTCTGACAAAATTGCCATTTACCCACTGGAGCCCAAAATGGCCTTTTAAGTGCCAAAGTTTTCTTTATGCAAAAGATACTTAAATCCTGGACACAAAATTTAAGAAAAAGAACTTTCACATATATCATCTTAGGTTAAGAGTATTTTTCAAAGAAAATCAGATTTGTGATATCAGGCGGTGCGGAATGTAACATTTCTCCAAAGTGAAAGTTTCGAAGTTAGCTTATAAATAATATAAACAATAAATTGCATTTATAGACATAAATGAATGATGGTGATGATGATGATGCAACATTGAACAAGGGGATGAATTATGGACCAAATCTAACTCAAGCATGGTCACATTTCGACCAATTCAGTGATACAAAATCTAAAGAGAGAATCAAACCAAAGTACCAAGCCTTTAAATCAACATATTTTGGTCAATCATGCAGAATAACATTGTCAGGGGAACTGGATCAACAGCACAAGGAACAGATAATCCCACTGTTAAATGTAAGATAGACGCTAGGACAGATTGCATGCATCAAGAGCTAGTGTAAAGCCTTTACTCATACAAATGAATCATTCATTTCTCTCCAGGAGGAGGACCACCAAAAAGGTAATCCAGGGAAGATCCACCACCTGGGGCAGCATGAACCTTGGTTGATGGTCGATCCTGCCCCCAAACAGATACCACAATATTAACCATGATATTGATTTGGCATTATAAACATGAATTTGTTTGGCACACAAAATGAAATGAAAAGCAGAAAAAAATGAGTCTACAGATGATAATACTCTCTCCTACTTTCAGAAAAGGATAGAAATACATAGAAACTATTAAGTAATGGTTACAATAACATAATAGATGTTGAATGAAAGGAAAAGGAATCCCTCTTGCTGTCATGGAAAACAGAAATTTTACTCAACCTTAACTCCTAAAATATCATGTCATGCACCTACCTCTTTCGGATGATAAAGCAAATAGAGAGACATTTCTATGTCACGAATGCATGATGCTGACTACCTTTAACCCATGTATAATTATCATAAGTTAAGTAATGACCGTTACTATGGGAAGTTAAAACAGGATATCGGTAAACAATCATACATGGTCCACGATTTTGTGATTTCTTTGCACCAGCATTCCGCGAGGTTATGATGGATCATGAATGAAGCAACATCACCGCCCACATCCAAAAAACTCAACTTCTTATCATGTGATTGGAAAAACAAAAAAAAAAAATCATCTCAGGCCCATCACTTTGATATTTCTTTGCGTAAGGATTCCATTGGGTAATGTTCGATCATGAAACCAGCATCGCAATCCCAAATCCAAAAAAAAAAAATCATTGTTATATATATATCTATATTTTTTTTATTTTGTGTTTTTTTTTGGAATATAGTAAATTATTTGAGAATCTGCTCCAAATGAAATGTAACTGTTTGGAGACTTTCTTTTTATCAATCATTGCTTAAACTTATTTTGGCTACTGTATACACAGCGTTTACAGCGTGCATTGCAATCTATTCTTTACTTAGTCCACAAATCTGATAAGATGTATGATACATGATACAATTCAAATAGAAAATTGATGAACCCATAGCTAATGGGCTCTTATGTATTGAGCTGTACAGAGAGGAAGCCACCAATGCTTACTTCTAATTTTCATATTGAGGACAAGGTGAAGCTTGGAGGGCCAAGGGCCGGGTAATAATGGACCTGTAGCTAGTGGCCTCTTATCTCTTGGGCCAAGGCTAAGCCATACGGAGTGTGTGCAGTTAGAGAGAGGGAGGCTGCGTGTTTTATATATTCGGGAACAGGTGTTGTGGGGTTACACAGAAAAGTGAGTCTTTGTGAGGGAGAGACAAGCCTTATGAAAGCTAGAAAACCAGAGTAGAGTCAGAGTAGAGTATGCGAGAGTTTTATATCACTTTCTCCTATTTTTTTCTTGTAGTTTTTTAACTTTTTTCTGGCTAGACCTATACTCTGCCAGATTTCTATCATTTTCAGCACGGGTTCCATCAAATATTTCCAATTTGCATTTCATATCCCAAATTGATAACAGATAACTTATAACCTCTCCTGTTTTCCAGCAAAGAGAGTGAGTACCTCCAGTAAGTAGGCCGAGAAATCACAGTTGTTTTCAATTGATTAGTTCTACCAGTAACTAATGTTTTTAGGATTTCCCATTTTGCAGTACTATTCAACAACAACAACAACAACAACAAGCCTTTATCCCACTAGGTGGGGTCGGCTACATGAATTGCAAGACGCCATTGTGCTCTATCATTTATCCATTTTGCAGTACTATTGTTATTCTAAAATTTGTCTTAACTTGTTGACACTAGCACAGCACCTTCTTCATTACTTGTTCTCTTTTCAATGAACATAATCAATAAAGGAGTTGTAGCAAAGGAGCTTGCCATCCTCATATCCAACTATAAGGATTGAGAACATGAATAACCTCAGAATTTCCTAGGCTAAGGGAAAGAGCAACAATATATGGAATAATACTAACAAACTAAAGACAGAGAATCATTCACCATGCTTCAAACAAACTAAAGAGAAGGCTTAACAGTACCCTACCGTGATGAAATTGCCACAGTTTTGCCCTTCAGCACGATGGTAATTGTTTGTAAGATGCCCAGGCACTCCAGCAGGAATTTGCTTCTCAGTTGGTGATGCAGCAGCTGCATTTTGTGAACGCCCCTCATTTGTAGGCTGAGCTTGAACTGGTGGAACTTGAACAGGTGCAGCTGGGGCTTTGTCAGGATTCTCCCCACCTCCAAAGAGATATCCCAAAGAACTCTCACCACCACCACTACTAACCCCACGACCCATTTGTTGTTAGTTTGAACTTCAGTGACTAAACCTGCATTGCACAACCTCTCTTAAGAAAAATTTGACCTCCAAGGTATAAAATAATCACTAGATCATGAGCATGACCTATGAATAAACGCAAAATGAGAAAGCAGGCAAAGTCATTAATCATCAGTTCATCATAACAGCAATGCGGTGAGTATCAACGAGAAGTGTAATACTCAAACTACTTGAAGTCTTACAGGAGCTGATAATATTGATTCTTTAATGCCTCAACACCATCCACTTAGGAAATTGCAGGCAGATATTTAACAAATAGTCCAAACTCCGAATGGACAAGTTGATTACCTGTCAATGACGAGGATAAATAACTCTTAACTTTGAAAGCATATCAGATAATATGCCGGGCATGCCACTAATAGCGTGGAAAAAGAATAACAACGTCATAGAAACAAACTGCAGAGAATGAGGTGAAAATGGTACGCAATCCACAATTTCTTTTATGAATTAATTCCACTCATTATCGTCATGCATTTCTTGAAATAGTTTCTTTCTATGACGATGTCCCTTAGAATAAAACTAGTACAACCCAACTATCCAATTGCAAGATTAATGCTGGTCAGAAAAAAACTGAAGATCCAGTTTGAAATCCTCATTTAGATATAACCAAGGTGCATTTCAATCCACTGATGCAAGTAAAACTTCGACATGAATTTTCTAATTCCCGCCCAGTACCCACGAGAATAAAATAGGCCATCAATTGAAATCAGGTGCCAAAGCTTAGACCAAGTGACTCAAGGTACAAGTCTAGAACTTTAAGACACAGACAGCACATGAAAAACAGCCATCCCAGAATCAGATCAAAGCCGAGAAAAATCATGCTCCCGAACAATTATCATTCAAGAAAACCAGGAAAACTCAAAAGGGTAATGAAAATTTTTTTGACGGACATTGTGCATCGTTGACAAAGCGGAAAGAATTACAATCCAAAGATTGAAATGGTTTGCTTATGGCATGAATCAAAAGGCGATATCACGAAATCGAAGATATGGGATTTCCCTAATCCATACCTTCGATTCCCAGAACCCAATCCACAGAGTAGCGAGAGGCGAGGAGGCACAGCCACAGGTCCAGTCACCAAAGTGAAATATTATAAACACAGTTTAGAAAGTATCATAAGCAAGAGAGATTTAAAACTTGAAAAATGAGGAGAGCTCAACCGTCAAATCAAACCCAAAAGAGTAATGATATCTCTTTTTTAATGATTTTGATTCCCTTCGTTTGCCTAGGCTTTGGCTTTCGGTGACATTGATTGACACGGTCAAGGGGGTGAGCTGGCTCTTTGGCTTTGGTTCAAAAGAATGGCGCACCGTACCAATGGGTGGCAAATCGTAGAGCTAATTTAACGGGCCGACCGTCGGTGCTGCCCGGTGACCGTCGGTATGGGGTTGGGTGTAGATGTGAGGATTGTTTAAAATTGTTTTTATTTTATTATTTTAAAAATTAATATTTTATAAAACATATTTTAAAAATAAAAAATAATAAAAATATGTACTTTTTTCTTTTCTTTTATTTTTTAAAACAATAATTTTAAAACATTTAAAATTTATTTTTATTTTTTTATTCTTTAAAATCATATTTTATTTTTATATTTTTTAAAATATTTTTTAAAAACACATTATTAAATAAAATTTTTTTTATTTTTTTATCTTAGAAAACAGAAAACTATTAATTTTAAATTTACCAATGAAAATAAAAGGTGTATATCTTATATATGTCATTTTGTAAAATTAATTTTAAGTTTACCAATGAAAATAAAAGGTTTATATATAAGATAGTTAAATCATCAAAATATATATATATATATATATTCTATGTATATGTGTGAGGGAAAATCGCATCGAATGATCAAACAAGGACATTTATTTAAAAAAATAAACAATTTTGAATATCAAAACATTTAAATATAATTAAAATTCGTTGGTTGGCCAAAAAAAAATCCTGATATACTCTTTTGAAAAAAAAAAATAATAATAATCATTTCACCCCCATCAGTCACTAAATCACTGCAACCGACAATCAAAGCTTCAGTCTGGCTGTCAGATCGCTACCGCTGGACCACCAGTGGCCGGCGACAAATAAATTTTTATGGTGACAAAAAGGAATTTGAACTTACAATTTATCAAAAGGATAACAATGACTCTTAATTATATATGACAAACAATTAGACTCCTTCCAAATATTTTTAATTAAATATTATTTTTAATAAAATAATTACTTATTTTTAAATTAATTTTTTTATATTTATTTTTATTTAATAGAGTCTTTTAAAAAAATATAACTTTACATCATTGCATTTTTTTATATTTTGTTATTAGTCCATGTATTTTTTTTTTTTGTCCTTACACTTTTATTTTTTATTGTTTTATATCCTTTCATAGACAAAGTATAGGGACCTTGAAGAGATCTAAAATAATGAAAAACAAAAATACAAGGACTAAAAATACAAAAAAGTACAAGGACCAATAACAAAACGTGAGCAAAGTACAGAAACTTAAAATTATATTTTCCTTGTTTAACCTTATAATAAATATAAAATAATTTATTCAATAAAGATATTTTAAAAAATTATCATGCATGTGATATAGGTTATACAATATGTTGTGGTATAAATTCATATTTTTAAACATCCTACTCTATTGACTTGTTTAGAATTTTACTTGTTAATTTATAGTACAAACTATCTTGATTACTGGGACTCTGCTTGACTTTTTACAAATCTGGAGATGGAAAGAAGGCAAGGGAAAAAGCTAAGCAAAGAGTAGCAAGCCTACTTGATTGTAAAGCCTTTATGTTTTAGGTTATGATAGATGAATATATATAAAGTTAAGGTTGTCAACTATAAATCTATATGTGATTTTGGACTATGCTTATATGATATATTTTGATATTTTAGCCTAAGTGTATGCTTGTATATCTTTGGAATATATATAAAAGGGCTGAAATATTAGTATAAGCATATATTTTTTAGTGTATATATGTATGGATAATTGCGTTTGTAATGAAAATTGGGGTATTTTAGCTGATTAGGTATGCTTGTTGGAACATGAAGGGAATAGGCCAATTGAATTTACAAGTGTAGGGTTATATTTATATGTGCTGTGTTGAGATGATTTGACCTAAAAAATGTGTAACATCTTATTTTTATTTAAGAATTTATTTCAAAAAATTATAAGATTAAGTTTTTATTTAGTAATTTAATTTAAAGAAATTATAAGTTTAATTAATAATTAAATTATGTTTTGAGAAAAATTAAGGTTAATGAGTTTGAGCACCTTTTTTATGTGGAGAAAGGCCTAATACTAAAACCTATGATGGGTTTCACTAAGTAAAGAAGAGAGGAGTCAAATTAGGTCATAAGAAAAATATTATATCCAGGATTAATTACAACCATTCGAGAGAGAAACGAAGATAAAACTATTTTCACATGTATATAAAATGGTTTTGATAAACCAACCTTTACAAATTTATTCAACGTTAGATCGAGCTTACATTTAGTCATAAGGTTCATAACATTCGGCTAATCTTTTTCAATGGTTGGATCATTGATTGTTTCCTGATTAGAGAGTCATTAACCTCATCATTCATAATAACTGTTTTTGTATCTTTACATAGTAGTCTCAATAAATTGAAATTTTTGAATTTGTTTACCATTGTATCAACCTTAAATTTGGTCATTAGGTTTGTAAAATCTATTTTATTCTTTTCAATAGTTGGATTATTGATTAGTCACCTGATTAGAGTTATTAACTTTATCGTTCATAACAGCTATTTTTGCATTGTCACAAAATAATCTCGATAACTTTTCATTTTGTGAATTTGTTCACCATTGGATTTATCTAAAATTTAGTTAGTAAATTCTTGACATCTAACTTAGTATTTTCAATAATTAGATCTTTGATTCATTTCATTATGTGAAATTTATTAACTTCATCTTTCATATGAGATTTAATCTTAAACCTAAAACCTAATAAAGAATCCTCATGGTTAAATAATCAACTATGGAGACTTACAGTGGGTTTAATTAGACTTTTGGGGGTCTAATGAATTTAACAAAGTTAATGAAAACTTTAAACTATTTAATGGAATAAGTTTAGAGTGTTATGTTAGGTCACAGGCAACGTTTGGCATATACCGATGTATGGTAATAACAAACTCTATGATGTTAATATGTGGATTAATATTTTGTGGTTGTTATGAGTGATGGGAGACCTTGTGGAAGTATGCTTTGAGTACCATTTTGATTGACTCAAGAGATAGAGGCAATCGGGAGCCTAAACTCCCTCACATATTAATTCTAGTATTTATTGTATTTTTTTATAAATAATGTTCTTGAGGAAAAAGGTGTAAGCATGATATATATATATATATATATATGAATGTGAAAAAGATACCTATATATGTGATTTATGCATTGCAAGCTTGAGTAATGAATTTAAGTATTGAATGTGATATATTATGATTTATTGTGTAATTTTGAATTATTGTGGAATCATGAATTATTACTATTGTTGAATTATGAATTATTGAAAAATATGTTATTTGTATACGTGGTAAAAATGTTGAGAATATGAGACTTGCATGATCATAAATGTAATGTATATGTGTAACATAGATGGGTGGGAGTTCACCTTGTGATCTGGGAGAGTATATTTAAGTCCGCATGGCATGACAATACTTGGGTAGCACCCAGAGCTATTTAGCTATGGTATTGACTCCGATAAAGGTTAGTGTGGTTCCAACTTAGTCAATAATACTCACTCTGGGAGTAAGTATGTGTAGCAACAATTATATGACACTATAATACCCTTAATGACATTACTAAACAACCTTTCATGCAATTACTAATCAAATAAAACATATTTGTAAGCTTTAGGATGCCAATATAAAACTTTTGAAAAGCTCATTATAGAAACCATTTATGTAACATCCTAAAAATTTTAAGACTCAAATTTATTTAAAAAAATAAATAAAAATAAAATAAAATATCTATAATTAAATTAAAATTTAGAATAATTTAATAGAGGCCCAGAGTTTGAATTTTACTAAGAAAAAGTTTGGTTTTATTTGATTTTTAACTATGGGAAAAATTACCAAAGTTGACCCGGGCTTTTGTGCAATAATAAAAAATGTTGGGCCCTTTCTTGTAATTTTCCCCAAACTTTTTGACCAGCAATTTAAAGACCAAAATTGATGCAGAAACGCAGAAATTGAGTTGGAAAGGAAAGGAAAGGAAACGTATGAGAGGGAGAGAGGAAGAAGAGAAGAGAAAGGGAGGGAGTTAGGCTTGGATCTAGAAGTCTTTGCGACCGTTGTGAGCTCGGCTACACGATAGGTAAACTCCCTACTTCAATCCTCTTCTCTTTCTCTTGATTTTCTTCAATTTTTGGAAGAAAAAATTTTTGGATTTTGATCCCAAAGGCTTTATTCTTGTAAGCTTTTGTTTCTTTGGATTCTAGGGAGCATGTTTTGAGTTTCTATATAGTGATCTAATGTTTTGAGTGAATAATTGGATGAAAAGAGGTGTTTTGGGCACAAAATAAACTTTGAGAAATTAGGTTTTTGCTCCTCAATGATTTAAGCCTATTGATTTAGTTATAATTTTGCTATTTAAGCCCAATAAGATTTAAATTAAGGTTTGGTTTTCATTATAAGGGCTAATGGTGAAAGTTGGTGGCACTAAGTAAAGGTTTTTAATTGATTAAAAAAATTATATAAATTGAAAATTAGCCTAGTGATGGCTAATAAATGGTTTTGGTGGTTAAGTGATACTATGTGAATGGTTGGTTCAATATATGGACCATTAGGGTGGAGTATGACTCATTGACCTAAGTTGTGTGGTATAAGTTATAGTCTTCATTAATGCTATTTGTCATGATAAGTGATGTGGATCACTTATATGTTGTAGAAAATTGTTGGTGGAACTTATTGAGAAGTAAGGAACAAGCCGAGCCCTATTTTGTACAAAGGGAACCCTTTTGGTACCAAAGGGTTGAGGTAACAGGGGAATTTATATTTCTTATTACTTTGTTTTAGCTATTTTTGAATAAATATTACTAGTTATCATGCATTACATGTTTTAAAAGATTAAATGTGCTTTATAAGGGGTTATGGGGTACTACTTTGATTATAGTGCAAATATGTTTTCTAATTGTTTAATAACAATGTTTTTATGGAAATGAGATTTATAAATATTATACTACTTTAGAGTGTTGAATGGTCAATACTCAGGAAAGGTAGACAAGAGTAAAAGGCATGATCTCGGTGGGAGTTCACCAATGAGAAGGTGTGGATTTTTGATATTCTATGGCACACTG